TTAGATCCTTAGAAAACACTTTATAAATACTGCCATTTCAGAAAGAGGAAAAACAATTAGTAGACTTTAAGTTTGAGTTCCTATGATAAATCTTGAGTATCTTTTTAAACTAAATCGTTTTAAAGGACTGCAGTAAGGTTGTTTTATTGTAACAAATATCTCGATCCATTTTTGTGGGGGAAGATAAACGTAGCTACAGTAATTAAAATAAGTAACAAAATGAAAAGGTGAGAACTATATAATTATGGCTGTTGGTAGCATGTGATTGAACCCACAGTTGTTATGAGGTTAGACACACCTGTTGTCATTGTGGTTAGCTGTGAAGCAATGTCTCTATATAGCAGCCAAAATGTACTCACTCTTTCATCAAGACCACTCCTCTAATAATGACAGTTCTACAGGGTCAAAATGACTAGGATGAGACAAGGTTGTTCAACAGAATTATTCAGTGGCTAGCAATGTGTTGACACACATCGCAACTGCGATCCGCAACGCCCCTTCTCTCAACATCTTCAAATCAACCCTTAAAACTCATCTGTTCAACATCGCCTTCCAACAATAACTCAATCTCCCCCCCCACTTACACTTCCATTTCTGCCCCCCCTGTTTTATGTTTATGTTTTTATGTTTTATGTCTTGTCCTTGTATGTTTCTTTGTATGAAAGGCGCGATATAAATTCAAGTTATTATTATTATTATTATTATTATTATTATTATTATTATTATTATTATTATTATTATTATATCTAATGATCCCTTAAAAGGCAATTCCTACTTGTCATGATATAAAAACCACACTGTGACTCTCATCAACCCATATCATTTAGGGTCACAACCTTTTGAGCCAGGGGTCACCATGCTCTTAAAGTGATCATGAACAAAAGTCAAAAAGGAAGGAAACCAAAATGACCTGTTGAAAGAAGACATGTCTCACTTTTCTAAATTAGTAATATGATATGAATGTCCCGAATTCATGAGAAATCCACATTAATCTACAAATCAACCACATTAATCATTATTAATTATACTTTTTTCGGTTGTTCAAGCTCCTCATACAGATGAACACAGCAAAACAATTGCAAACAGCTGCTCTTGAACAACAACTCTACACCTCTGCCAAGCAGGTTTGTACATAGCATTTTGGAGTTTACAGAGCAAACGTAAAACAGACCCAACCTGCAGAATGCGTAAACAATAAGAGTTCACATGAGATCACATGACAAACAGACACCAAATATCTGAATACCAGAGTTTTTAAAAGTCAACGATACAAATGTAGAGAGCATCCTGTCTATGAAATGTATAGTCTTCATGAATGAACTAAATATGACCCTGAAACACATTTTACTCCAGCCTCAGGTTATCTTCATGAACACCTTCATTCCTAGACATTACAATAAAAGCCCAGTGTTCACACAGTAATTACACACATTTGACAAGTTCCCCCGAGCAAGTTCCCTGTCAGTTGACTCAAAAAGTCATTAAATGACAGACAGAAAGTCAGCTGAGTCACAAGGAGCATAATCAGAGAGACAGGTGTTCAATAAAATAAGCAAGAAAAGAAAAGTGTCACCCTGGTGCCCAGTGCTCATAATAACTGTAATTTCAGAAGCATCAGCAGCCTTTTATTCTGTTAATGCCATGCTCTTCTCACCAACTGACGCCTGATATGTAATGTAGAGGCGCTTTTTTTAGAAAATGAGAATGCCCTCAGTAACCCCTTTAAAGGAACAATTTCCCTCAAGAAAATATCTGTGTAATGAATGCCAGAATCCTACCTTTGATATCGAACCTATGACATAAAATCTGTGTTTTCTGTAAGTCTAATAGGATTCAGGACCTTTTCAACTGACGTAAATAATACAGTACAACATAAACAGTCAAACTGCTCTGGGAACAGATCAAATCATATCACTCACTCAGCATCAAATTATCTTTTGTAAATAATATGCATTTTTAGACTGAATACAAGGTAATTTGCACATAATCACATATAGATTTAGGGACCTTTGATCATATACAGTAGAGACAGCGATAAGAAATGTTGCAGGCAATATTATCTGCACATTTATTTTTGGAGCAGGGTTTTTTCTAAAGTATACGCAGAAGTATTTATTGTGCTACCTCGATGTGGTAACTCAATTAAATATTAACAATGTTTTTTTTTTGCACCCTTATCAGCCACGTACAACCCACAGATCAACTTAATGGAAGTCTTTATTATACTGCAGGTGTGATTCATGGAGTCTGATCCACAAGCAGAAGCTTGTTTTATGTCTCTTGTGTCTTCTGACAGAGAGAGAGATAATGATGACAGACGTAAGTCGGAGACAGACAGATCATTGGATTAAGCGGTCTAGTGATTTTTCAAAAACAAGCAAACCTCCAGAGTTCAGACGCTGCATTCAGGCCCCATATAAAAGACCTCGCTTCAATGTAGTTCAAAGTGAAACTGTATTCTATAGTTATATTGTCCTTTGTCCTTTCTTCTGTTGTTCCTTTATTGGTTATGTGAACAAGAAAAGAGTAAAGCTAGAATAGAGTCAGATCAAATTTCTTCCCCCGCCCTGAGCCCACAATCACAAACACAATAGCACCAATTATCTCTCAGCCCTTCACCCCTCACTTCTTATTCTGCTAATGTCTCACTGCACTCTCAGAAGCAGATCTGAAATGCACCTCTTCTATTAAAAAAAAATCACTTGCATATCACAACATCAGCACGATACGAATGTAACTTATAGAGAATAAGAATATAGAGTAGAAGGCCTTATTGTTTAATTTTCCAAATGTTATTAGCTAAGACTGATTATCAATTCAGATAATGTTCATTGTTACTGATCAAAGGTGACAATTAATGACTGTGAAAATAAAACTATAACTAGGACAAATGTTTATAACAGTCATAAACTATTAATATTATAAAAGGTATTCAAACTCAGATTACATTGTTCATTGTTCATTGTTTGATGCCCCCTAGTGGGCACATGTATTATAGAGCTCAATATAGACATAATACATTCAAGTGTTTGCTACTTGCTATTGTAAAAACGAATTAAATAGCTGAATGCAGAGACCTGATTCATGGTTTAAAAACCTTTCTCCCTCAGATACTTCAAAAGTCAAAAATGTGACAGTACGAGAGGCGACCACTTGATTGATACACGCAAGTTGCTGAGTATAACACAATATTAGATTAAGTAAACATTTCTTATGAGCAATGAGCAGATTTTTTCTAACCCCTTACTCTGGAATTCTGCAGACGTGGGATAATTGAGTTGGAGCCTCACCAGACTTAAGCAGATAAATCCACTTATATTCTTACTTTAAGCTTGTTCACTATTTACATGAATACAGTCAATGTTTTAACAGAGAGTCTGGGTGAAAGCATATCACAAATGGAAATCTAACATGTTTTCCCAATCAAAGTGCTGTAATGTTAGTTTATTTTACTGTTATTGCCTTGAATTTAAGGGATATTAAAAAAAATTGTATGTACTTTAGGAAAAAATATATCAGTTACTGTACACAGGCTAAATAATGACAGAAGTATCAAACTCTGTTTTGGTTTAGTTGTTTTGAATTGCGTTTCGCAGATGGTTTTATTTCCAGCGATGTCAAACAGTTGATCCCATCAGAGCTTAGCTTGTTTACAGTCAGTAACTTTTTAGCTTTTTCATGGTGCTCTTTACACACTGTCCCGCCAACCAGTGTCACCAATCACATAGATTACCCATAATCCACCTTTGCAAAAAACAACTGGGATGCCCATCCAAATAAAAAACTGAACAAAACCTTATGAATTATTTTCATTTCTATATCAATTTTAGATAGAAGAAATATAACCCTTTAATATTGAGATTTTAAAAACAAGAAAACATCACAGATTGTGGTGTTTTTGACTCGACATCAGGTGTCTGGAAAGTTTGAATGGTGTATTGTTGGATAGAAATGTAGACAAAGGACAGAATAGTCAATCGAGCATGCTTTTATGTTATTTACCAGATAATAAGTAAGGTTTACAATCTTTTTTTCCATTTAGGGTTGACAGCTTTTAATGCTCCCTGTCATTATACACCTCAAAAATAAGTTAATAAATGCTTAACAGAGTGAACTATTTGCATTTTTGGAGTTTTGGAATAAGAGGATTTGTATTCTCAAACATTTGTAATGATCTAATTCAATGAAAGAATACATCCCTGTGATGTAGTAAGAACAATAGGGTAAATAACTTGTATTTTTGTCCTCCTTATGTCTTCTTTGGCTTTTACATTTTCTTGCCAAACTGCTGCACTGTTTTGACTGCCTGTTGTCCGTGCATATTTCCAGGACATCATGCGTATTCAATTGGCTTACAGTACTACTGGACCATAATTGGCTTTAGCACATTGCTTTCCAGCTTGTTGCATAACATGGACAGGATTCGTGCAAGCAATAGAGACAAAACAGCCTCCCTCTGTCTTTCTGCCTGCTCTGTCTCTTACTTTTCGCTATCTTGCTTCTCCTTTAGTCAGAAACATTTAACATTTTGTATTACAAACAAGCTGTGGCCACAGAAAGTTCCTGATATCATCATTAACCCCTGGCACATGTCCAGTGCATGGTACGACTTACAGGTGAGTTAGTATAATAGGACTAAGGACTGACCATCAGACCACCAGTAAGCTTATTACTGCTCAGTGTTTATTGTGTTGTTTGGCTGCATTCTCTTGAGCTCAGGAGGGATCACAGCCACTTGCTGGACCAAAGTGCAACATGTTTTCAAACTCAAATGCTTACAAATATTTGTTTTTCTGCTCCGAACATGGCTATATGATTTATTTTCATATTTAATACCAAGGGATTCATATTCAGTCACAAATGTATATTTTGAAAGTGAAATATACAATTTTAACAGCACAAAAAGTACAACATTTCAGTGATATTGTTTAGAAAAATATTTTTTTTATTTTTATCTTTCAAGTTCACACAATTCACCACAGCAGCAGTAAATTCTCCTTGGATAAACATTGGATGGACACAGAGTAGGAGGAGGAAATTGATTGAAACCTTGTCCAGGTTTTTCACAGTTTTTGCTTAATTGTCTTCCTCCTCTCACTTCTCCAACACATTATTGCATCTGTCCATTTACATTATCACACTCACACTCTTTCTCTCCCCCTCGTTCTCTCTCAGCTTCACACTCTCTCTCTCTCTCTTTAGCAGGCTCCAGACTGCAGAACAGGCTGGAACTCTCCGGCCATGCAGATGTCATCCTGTTTCTGACGGACGACGCGCTGGATGGCTGGAGGCAGGCCACGGGGGTTCCTGGAGAAGATGATGGCGTAGCCGTCATCGCAGCTACCATCTTCCTTCATGGTGCGGCAGGCGTAGGTGATGGCGTAGTTGTCATAGTCGGTGTCGATCACCCAGTAGTTGTCACCTGTTTCAAAAAAGGAAAGGAGAGGTTAGCCGAGGAGGAATGATGAGATGTAATAGGGGTGTGAGGGGGACATGTTTGCTGCTGACCTCCACTGGACAGGTAGCTGGCCAGACCCTGGTAGTTCATGAACATCTTGCCGGGGGTGGTAGGGTCGGGGACAGAGTACTGTGCAGCCATGTCAGCGCAGACAACCCAGAAACTGTAACACAATGATAGAAAAACACATACAAGTTCGATTAAGTATTTCTTGCAGTTACAGTAACATTATTAATGTAACATACAACAATTCTAATGTAAAAATTGAAATGAGACTATTAATCTATGACATGTGCATTTTCAATTGAACTTCATACATGTGTTTGTATGCTAAAGTGCATTCAAGTCCACATTCCTGTCTAAAAGCCCATGTCTCCAGCCTTCATTTCTCTATAATCATCCATAATCCAGAGAAAACCGATTTGTAGCTAATACTGTTCAGAATGTTCTTCCAGAAAATTGCACTTGATCCTAACTGCTGACCCTGGAAACTGAATATTTGAAATCCTAGATGCTTATCCTGGAGATACAAACAGGTCTTTGTGAGCAAATAGACCTGTGACCTTGGATTTGCATGGTAATCGTATCTGTCAATAATGGTAAGTGTTGGTAAAGAGTGTCTCATCCCTGTCTCTCCTGGCCATAGGTCTTACCCAAACAGAGTGACGCGTCCCTTGGACGCGGCGGACATCGAGCCGTCATCATCAATGGTGTACTCAGCGGAGATGTTGTCCTGCAGGAACAGGCCCTCTGGATCTTTCTTCTGCAGTGCGTACCACTTTCCTGCATACTGCAATGAGAAGGAAGGAAGCAGACAGTCAGTAATGCTTTTACTTACTTTTCTCAACATGCATATTGTCTGTGTGTTTCAATTCACTTACCCTCTTAGATTCAAAGTCATCTTTGACTGTGAAGCTGTCAACCACACAGGAAGCAGACAGACTGAGCTCTACACAGGACAGCAGGACCAGCAGCAGGGCCACCTTAGAGGATCCCATTCTGTGATGAACACACATTTTGTAAACATCATTATATGACACTAAACTGTGCATGTTTGGCTTTCGGGATAACATCCATGATCTTTTTTATAGCCTACTAAGATACTGTAAATGCAACAACAATATGTTGTAGCAATTGACATTAGTAAAAGAAAAATGTAGCACTATCTGACAGACTGGAGCAACACAACACAATAAAAATAGATATTCTGAGTTCAAATATGAATACCATAAACCTGGACCAATCTTGCATCTTTACACTGTAAAACCATTTTATATAGTCCAGTGATTATCAACATTTGCAGTTGACAAAAGAAAGTTTACGTTGTTAAGTCCACAGTTCCCTTACAGACAATCTAGCAAAAGTAGAAGGTAAACAGAGTGAGATGTCAGTGTCTTACCTGTTCTGAGTCAAACAAGCAAAGGCGATTAAAGTTCTGTTCGTGGTTATCCACCAGATTCAGTCTTGTGGTTCTTCTGTGTGTGAGGCAGCCTTTATATACACACTCCACAGACAGGCTTATGTCTGATTTTCATTGCTGGGAACTAAATAAGGTGCTTAAATCTACAAGTAATCCTGTTGGGTTGAAATACTTACTGTAATCTGGCTTCCACGTTAAAACCTGCCCAGGACTTACTATAAAAACAATTATACCTTTATGTAACTATTGGGAAGCACAATGATACAGGCACGTGCATGAATGATATCCGATGATTTGTGTGAGAGCTTACTGAACTGACTACAATTTTAAGTGTCAATCAAATAAATAAATTAGACATAAATGGAATTGTTTCTGATTGAAAAATAAAAACAATGCACGGTAACAACTGGCTTGCTTATTTAGAAAATAATCACATGATTTAAACAGGCTTTTAATATCATCTTGTCAATGCAAAGTATATGCACAATTATTATTATTAGTATATAAGAAGTTTTGCACAGTACCTATATTCACTACGTATGGCATGAAAGGGATTTTCATTGATTTATTTTTCAGGTTATAAATCTGTTGATTTGCACACAACACCAAGTCAATGTCGTGTAATTGTTGTGAAAATGTTTATGGCAAAGGGCCCCACTGGTACACAAGTCACAAATCCGCTTATGAAACTAAACTTGAAAAACCTCCACGCCTGAGTGGCATTAACAAGACAGCAAGCTTAAACACTTTACAATTAAAATGTAAACCATACAGCTATTCAAATCAATAACAACATAATTATACTAAATGACCTATTAGTTAACCTAGAAAATGTCCACTTTTTAAGGTATATACTGAAGCATACATACACTTCATATGCATTTTTCTGTGAGTGAGATTAAAATCTCAAATATTTTTGATTGAGCTCACCGATGCAAGTACTGTTCAAATTAACAGACTATTATTTGAAATATTTCACAAGTCATTGCATTACAACGGAATTTAAATAATGCACATCAAATAAAGACTACATAAGAGCCACAATAAATACATTCACTAGAAGTACACATGGTTGAATCCTTTACAAAGTGTAATGATGAATTACATTACATTCAAGATGAATGAATGCATATATTTAGCATTCTTCTTTGTGAATAATGGGATGAACAGCTTATAATAACAACAACACTTGTAATTCAGTTACATAACGGTGCATTTACTGTACACTATACTATGTTTGAGAAGGCTTTACCTGTCAACCTATACTGTATATTAAATGAAATGGGAATCCTTATACCTATAACTTTGAATGCCTGAATGCCTGGATGCATGAATGCAGTTATGCAATTACACCTACACAGACAAACACACACCTTTCTCACTCTCACTCTCACTTTGTGAACTAATTAACTCTCATTTCCTGGATTAGCCCCGGTCACAAAAGATTACTGATGGCATAACACTGAATATCATGTAATAACATAATGGTCATCGCGTTGTTCTTCTTTTATAATCTTTGCTGTAGAGTTTTTTAATCTAATAGTGTTGTACATAAAACAAAAGGTAACAAGTGCAGCCTCACCCTACACTAGTAGTAAACAGTGACCTCAGTGTGGATACAGACAGACAATCTATTTCTTCCACTGACTCGGCTGCTCAGTACTTTAATCCTACTTGTATGTCCTGAAATAGATCATCGACAAAAATATACCTACTGTATACACATTTGTATCTTTAGTGACCCCACCCCACGGAGAGACAGAGTATGCTCCAAGCATCAGGTCATGATCATCAGCTGAATTTGATTGGCTGGTAACTCGGGTTGAACCAGGACAAGGCTCACAACCATTAGCCATCTGTTGACCATCATGACTACTGTATTTACATCTATTTAAGTCCTGTCATATTCAGAGACTGTACAAACATCCACTGTCTAAGTACGTTTTTGGGCCTTGAAATGATTAGGAAGATCTGACTTCTATATTCTTCAGACATATCCTTATCCATTGTTTAGTGTCGATATGCACATTCATTGCTTACATCTTTCAAGTCAAAGGCACTGACCATTGCTCACTTACTTCTTAGTAAGTAACAAACTCATGTTAATTTATGTAAGCATAATATTGAATGTTACGTTCTAGCCTCTTTTAGGGACTAGGGCTATGTGGGACTGCTGCCACCCTGTGGTGGATATCAGAAATGCAGCAAGTACGTGTTTACTATTAGTATTACGTTTATTGGTTAAATAGAAGCGACGTAAAACACTTATTTCAAGTTAGATTTGGCCTTATGTTTGGTATGTTTAATGAAACAAATACAATTCAACGTTATTGTTCCATCTGTCAATATATCATACTGTAGATCAGCAAGAGACAGCAAGTTATTGATGAGTGAAACATTAGGAAAATGAAAAATAGCTAGAGGGTGCTGATTTAATTTGTGTTCTAAAGTGTTTTAGTATTCTGTGTAAATGCAATAATCAAGCATATAAATCAATATAACATCAAACATCTACAAATCTCATTGTGGTCCTTGTGGTAAGAGATTGTAGGCTATATAATATATCAGGTACTGTTCTAATTCCGTAGTAGTGTTATTTTCAACTAAATCTACCCAACAAAAGATGGCCAGCTTAAAGTGGATCATGCTATATTTGAATAATATAGTGTAGGACCATACCTATATAAGGCATATTTATATATCTATACCAAACAGATCATGCATTTTAGCCATGCCTCATTTCGCTCAATTTGCACTTTTTTAGCTCTGTTTTTGCAAGGGCTGATTCTGTGAGAACAGCACCACCTACAGGCCTGGCATATGTACTACAGCATCTCCAGCGCTTTCGTACGGCAATGGCGGTGGCTGTCTCCTCCTGATTGGTGGAGTTGGCCCAATAGCCGTAGCGCCACTGTCCTGACGTCAGGATAGTGTTCAAATCTGGATCAGTTTTTATCAGATCCGTTGCAGCCCCTTTTTTAGAGATTTGGGTATGGAGGAAAATAGAGAGGGTTGTGTTTTTTGACACTTGGTGAGTTCCCTGGAACACCGGGGACACATATTCATGTATAAAAGACGTACAAAAGTGCATTTTGCATGATAGGTCCAATTTAAAAGGAAACCTATCATGCTATATTTAAATGATATTGTAGGGCCATACCTATATAAGGTATATTTATACGTTTCTGTTTTCAAAATACCAAACAGATCATGCATTTTAGCCATGCCTCATTTCGCTCTATGTGCTGTTTGCTGTCTACGGGTCTGATTCTGCTGACCACGCCCCCCTGCAGGAGAGGTGAGCCGTGCTCTGATCAGCTGCTGGGCTGTCAGAAGAGGGGGAGAAAAAGAGATCTCCGTGTTTTATTATATAGAGTCGTTATTCATTTGTTTTAAAGCTCAATAAATAACAAAGAAGACCTTTGACCGGCACTTTTCTAATTTTGTCCGGAAGATTTAAACTTTAACGGACATCTTGACCGGCGAAACAAACTGAAACTGAAACTTTGCCGCACGGTCCCCTCGTTCCTTGGAAGAGGCGGAGAGGTGGGTGTTTGTCATCTGCTGGTGGACTAACCGGAGAGAATTACAGTGCTTGCCTCGACGGGGAGGGATTGCATTGCAGCGGGAGCAAACGCTTGCCTCGGGGAGGGAGAAAAAAAGCCACAGCGGAGAATAAACAGAAGGGTAACCATGGTAACCAAGTCTTCTTCCCTGCTTTTGTGGCAGACTACAGCGCCACTTACAGGCCTGGCATATGTACTACAGCGTCTCCAGCGCTTTCGAACGGCAATGGCCGTGGCTGTCTCCTCCTGATTGGTGGTAGCCGTAGCGCCACCGTCCTGACGTCAGGACAGTGTTCAAATCTGGATCAGTTTTTATCAGATCCGTTGCAGCCCCTTTTTTAGAGATTTGGGTATGGAGGAAAATGGAGAGGGTTGTGTTTTCTGACACTTGGTGAGTTCCCTGGAACACCGGGGACACATATTCATGTATAAAAGACGTACAAAAGTGCATTTTGCGTGATAGGTCCCCTTTAATAAATAAGTGTGTTGACTTTTCTTTTATATAAAGTTTGTGTTTGCTTGGTTACATGAACAAGACACATAGTTACGTTATTGCCCTCTAATTTTGACAAATTCTACCCAACAAAAGATGACACATTTTGACTTAGTTTGGGTAACTTGCTAACAAACAGCTAGATTGGATACCAAGAATGGATCTAGTCTCACAATGTCATTCATTTAGCTCCACCTGCTGGCTGCAAAACATAGTTGGGTTCTTGTGATACTGAAAGAATAATTCCACTATTTTTGTATTAATTCATGGCTTCTATTAATCGATATTCTACAATTTAAGGTCAGTTCATGGGTATGGAAGCAAATAATACTTTTTAAATGGTGTTTTAATGCTCACAGAAACCAGCAGTACGCATGCGCAAAACTGATTGCCTGTCCTGTAGCCCAGCTGCAATTTGATTGACTAGAAACAATTGGCAGAAAAAAGTACAGCATTTATTTCAAACAAAATATCAACTGCCTCACTGTGAACACGTATATTATCTTCTACATCACGGATTCAAAAGTATGCCTACTGAAACAAAACAAAATCGCTGGAAAAATAATAACAGATTTAAGGTGAAATGGAAGCAAATGGCTAACTGCTAAGTTAACTTGATACAGAAGATGCATCTAGTCAAGAACAGTTGCACAAAGCCTCTTATCATACGGATTTCACTTAAGGTAATATTGTTCCTTATAACGATTTATATTTGTTGTTTTTCCACTTAACGCCACCACACCTGCTTTTGTTATTGGCATGCTTATTAGCATGTTTGCATAAATGTGAGAGATGGTAACATTACGTTAGCTCACCTGTATCAAACACATTTCTTCCAAGCACAGAACATATTGTCAGGACTGCAGTTAAAAATGAACACTCTCGCAGTTACAGAAACTAATAAGTAGTATCCTTATGTAGTATATAAATCTAGAAATAAATTAAAAGCTAAAACCACTTATGCATATCAGCTAGCTTGGCTTTAGACTGTTAACTGGCTTGTATCAACAGATGGATTATTTAGACTTTACCTGCAAGAAACATAAAAATAACAGTTATTATAATAAAAAAATAAATCAAATTGAGCTTACAGTTTCTTAACCTGAACTATTTTTGAACCCAAACGAAGTAAAGGAAACATGTTGATGCAAAGAACAGCATTCACACATATGGGCCCAAGACTCCCTTTTTAGTGGGGTTTACAGAGTAGACACCATAGTATGTATTTCAAAACCTCACCAACCTCAATCTCAATGGCCTCCCTCACTTTCTATATGTGTACAGTAGACACACATTGCTACCGTCTATTATAATGGAAGCAGATTATCTGTTTGACCTTTTGTTTAAGGTGTTTATGGAATCTTATTATAGACTGGTTCTCCCTCCCTGAATGAAGGATTACATCTATCACAGAAGCACAACACACTGTGTCAATTTGTTTGTGTTTGATGCTGACACTACAATCTCAATAATGTTACATTAGTGCCTTCAGCCTAGTTTCTAGCTGGCTTTACTCTATCATCCTTCTCAGGAAAGTATTTACCATGAATCTCCTAAACATGGTAAATACAATCATTGCTGTGGAAAAGAGGCTGTGCAGGTAGGCTGCATTAAAGATTGCACATGGAGAAAGGGAGAGAGTTGGGGTACTGAGATAATCAGCTAGTGTCCTAACTAAATAGGGCTTATGCCAGAGGAGGCCTTGTTTAATAAGGACTTAAAGAGCTTGTATAGGTAGACCAGCATGTGTGTGAGAGAGAGACACATACAGTATACTATACAGACACCACAAACAAGATATCGGATATACTAAAAGTACTCATAAATGTATAGTTTATCATTAATTTATTAGCAAATGTCAGAAATACAGGCGTTGCTACATTTCCCTTAGCACATAAAGCCTGACTAAGATTTCTTATATGCACAAACATTTAAGTTTCATGCTTTTGTTTGAAGGACTATTCTTTGTTTTGCTTTTCTGCCTTTTTACAACTTCATTTTGTTGTATGTTTTATGTTTGCTGATTACTTGTATTGTTACCTCTGATTGTTGTAATGGTTAATTATGTGTAAAGGAATTGTATTCAACCCAAATGATACTCTCAAGAATGCAGTCAAACATTAGGAGAGGGAATTTGTTGCTGATTTATTTGATCTAATAGGGATGTTAAAAAGGTATTGAATGCACTCCGGAGGCTAATAATTTGGCCCACATATCCGTTCCTAGAAGATCAGCTGATGAGTTTAGCAGAGGCAGATCCCTGCTAACCTTCAGCACTATCTGCTGATGACAGATGGATTGTTTGGATTCAGCCCTCCGCCTTCTCCTCAGGGATCTCCCTCACTCAGTTCCCTCATCCCACTAACAGAGGGGATTATACTTGCATTTGGATATGTCCACTTCTGTTTCCCCCCTTTGTGTGTAATACCTGGGTAAGATTTGCTTTTCTTTAGGGTATTATCTGGATAAACCAGAATCGAAGTGCTTTGTTTTGCTTATTCTCTTTTCTTGTGCTTCTGTTCAGAGAAGTTGGAAGTAGCTCGCTCAGGGAAGTGTTGGACCGAGCGGGAGCTCCGTCACTCTGAAGAGGGAGAAGACAGGAACATTTGGAAGGAGAGAAGGAAGGAAGAACAATGTGTGCACAGAAGGAAGACGTGGAAAACTTCCTGAAGGGAAACCCTTCATTTGCTAAACAGTACTTTGCTAAGAAGATGAGCCCTGCCTCCATATCGAAGGCGTCAGGACTCCCAGACACACAGATTGACTTCAGCCAGTTCCAGGAGCTCGCTCAGGTACAGTTCATTATTTCAAGTTGTTTATTTAGGAGAGGTTGTGTCACAGTTACCACACATACATATAGTTTCATACAATATAACCTCTGACAAACCTTTTGCATGTATTACAAAGTTCCTCATTTTCTCCAGTGAAACCAAATTCTAAAAGTTGTAGTTTTTCACTTTGTTTCAAGGTTGAAGAAAGCAAAGTCATGTATGACCTGATCAAAGACATGCAGGAGAACATCAACGTGGAAAAGGTTGTGTTCAAGATCCTGAAGAGAGTCACTGCGCTCATCCACGCCGACCGCTGCAGCTTGTTCATGTACCGGCAGAGGAACGGCATCGGGGAGCTGGCCACAAGGCTCTTCAATGTCAGCACAGAGGCACAGTTTGATGACTGTGTGGTGCCACCAGACTCTGAGATCGTCTATCCGCTGGACATGGGAATAATCGGACATGTGGCCCTGACCAAGAAGACTGTTAATGTGAAAGATGTCACAGAGGTTAGTAGGATACAAATCCAACGTTTAACAGAATTCCTAAACTTGGAAAAGAGTCTGTCACAGTGTTATTCATGAAACAACAACCAGATGAGGCCACAGCCTTCAATTGTTAATTCCCACATGTTGTGGTTTTATCTAATAAATAAATGTTTTTCTTCATTACAATAACATATTAATCTTGTAGCAAGCATGCCTACTTCTTAAAGTCACTGTACCTTGTAAGAGGGACATAAATGAATGAATATCAATGTACAAGTATTTATACTTGTTGAAGCGAGATTGTAAATCCCCTTGTCAGACATGATCCAGTTATTTCCAGATCCCAACAGCCTCTGCTCTAGCTGTGGATTACACACCTCTGACATTTAGTCAGCAGGAAACCGATCAAAACAACTTTACTTTACATCATACAGACTGAACATATAGTAAGCCCATTTAAATTGAACGTCAGTTTCATAATTAAAAAAAAATCTAGCACTTGGACTCATAAAATAAATGTTCCATATAGGGAATCTTTTTACTTTTCCAAAGAGATTATTGTCAAATAATGTATTTTTTTTTAGTACTGGGACAATAATTATCTTGGTTTCGGTGAAAATTGTAATACTTTAGTGGCTAAGACCTACCTACCTAACATGTGGCATTTAAAGAACTAGACACTTCTAAGTCCTGTTAGTATTTTTCTAAACAGTAAACTTAACACATGTATTTTCTGTCTTTTAGAGCCCGCACTTCAGCTCATTTGTCGACGACCTCACAGAATATAAGACCCAGACCATTCTGGCTTCGCCCATCCTCAACGGCAAAGACTTGGTGGCTGTGATCATGGTTCTAAACAAGACCACTGGACCACACTTCACTGCTGAGGATGAAGATGTGAGCAAAAGCAAATATAACCTTAAAGCAGATCAGTGTGACGTACAGAGGCCTTGTCAATATAGATATTAAGATATACAGCAGGCAAATTACTGTTCTTAACATTACACAACAAAATAAGCACAACAATAACAGGTTGGTCGCATATAATAGCTGCAGCAGAAATCAAGATATTTACTACAATATTTCTATAGCACGTTCTTCAGAAGGAAATGTTCAAAAAGCGGTTAATGTATAATGTATTTGCTAGGGTTGCTATCTGCCTGAATATCTTGATTTAAACCATTAAATAAAATATGACTTTTTAATGAACATGAAAAATACATTTCGTTTTTAGAAAATCAAATTTTTTCGAGATCACTCTTACTTTTTTGGCTTGTTGCAGATAAGGAAAAAAACACTAAGTCACACTTTATGTGCCTCAGTTTTGTCATAAGGCTTTGAGTCATGTAGCTTTACAGTAGCGCAATGTGAGTTTAAAACGTTACAAATATTTACTTGATATAGTCAGTCTATTAGTTATGTCTGTAAGTACAGAGAGTATTAGAGATCTAAACAGGTGGGACATTTTAAGTTGTTTATTGCTTGAATATGTACTGTACTGTATAATGTATGTTAAATTGTGTTTTTGTGTGTCTTTATAATGTTTTTATATCGCTTTTCTTTCTCTTGATTGTCCGTTAAGCTTTTTTCAAAGTTAATGAAAATTGCAACTTTGAACTTGAAGATCTACCACCTCAGTTACCTCCACAACTGTGAGACTCGTAAAGGACAGGTGAGTGGATTTTCATTCTACTAAAAAACAGGAAAAACTGCATTACCGAATGCTTTTCATGACTGCTGTGTGTGTGTGCTGTACTCCCCAGCTGCTGCTGTGGTCTGCCAACAAGGTGTTTGAAGAGCTGACAGACATTGAGCGACAGTTTCACAAGGCCTTGTACACAGTCCGAGCCTACCTCAACTGCGACCGCTACTCTGTCGGTTTACTTGACATGACGAAGGAGAAGGTACAGGGAATTAATATGCCCCTTCCTGAAATATCCCATGATTTGCGTTCTTGCCTTTGTTACCCTGAGGTGCTGATTTTTCTGTGCAATTTTGTGTCTGTTTCCTTCCAGGAGTTCTTTGATATCTGGCCTGTGTTGATGGGGGAGCAGGCCCCATACTCTGGTCCTGTCACTCCTGATGGCAGGGTACAATGTTTTATCTAATTTGACTTGCATTATCATCACTAATCCATTATATAACTTCGCTTGGCAGTGAAAATATTAGATACATTGCTTGGTCTTTTTTTCCATTTAAACATAATGTTGGTGTTTTATTTTTTCCTCCAGGAGATCATTTTCTACAAAGTCATTGACTATATACTACACGGAAAAGAAGACATCAAAGTAATACCGTAAGTCATCATTTGACTGTTTCCTTTAGTCTGATTATTATAGTTTTTTAAAAATAAATCTGTGTTAATATCTGCTTACCTTTCCTCTTGCCTTACTGCCACACAGAAATCCGACTCCAGATCATTGGGCTTTGATTAGCGGCCTGCCTACTTATGTTGCTGAGAGCGGTTTTGTGAGTTTCTTTACATTACTACAACCAGTAAATCAGGTAAAAACGAATTAATGTATTCACACATCTTCCACTTCGATCAATATGTTTTATTTCTGTTTTTCAGATTTGTAACATTATGAATACAGCTGCTGACGAGATGTTCAAGTTTCAAGTAAGAGACTTAAGACAGCTAAGTTTAGCTAGAAGGTAAAAAAAGATGGCTTTGCAATAAAACAGTCAAGTATGTTTAGAGATTTTCATCGAGTATCACATGCTTTTGCTTGTCGATGCATTATTTCAGACTGAGCCACTCGACAGCAGTGGTTGGACCATAAAAAATGTCCTCTCGCTGCCGATCGTCAACAAAAAAGAAGAGATAGTTGGTGTGGCCACTTTTTACAACAGAAAAGACGGAAAGCCTTTTGATGATCAGGATGAACAGCTCATGGAGGTATATTAACACTGCATGCATTATATAGTCACTCACTATGCTGTGAAATCAGAAACTGTAGTACAGCTCTTCTTGGAATGATAATAAAAGTGTAGCAATGAATTTCTGTGAGTTACACAGTGCATTCTGCTCATTTCCCGCACCCTATTTTCTCAGGCTTTGACCCAGTTCCTGGGCTGGTCTGTTTTAAACCCGGACACTTACGACAAGATGAACAAGCTGGAGAATAGGAAAGACATCGCTCAAGACATGGTGCTCTACCACATCAAATGCCGGGATGATGAGATTCAGGATATCCTGGTCAGTTCTTTTTAATGTTTTCCACATTTGCTTTTCAGTATGATATCCTATAACTACCTATGTAGTTGGGCTTGCTATTTAGTCAATTCATACTTGCAGTACAACCTTCATTTTTTTCCTAATTTATCTCAGAACACCAGAGAAGTGTACGGCCGTGAACCCAGAGACTGTGAAGAGGAGGAGCTCCTGGATATCCTGGTAACTTGTCTGAAATTGAGTGTCCAAACATACAATGTGCCTAAGTAGAACCTAATCTTTAGGAGAGTAGCCAAATTGTCACTTTCCTTTTTAAGCATAACTATCTGCACATTCTGCTATGAATGTGCCGTGTACACAGTTTCATCTTACTCTGCTTTGTTATGTTAATTTCCCTTTTAGAAAAAAGACCTGCCTCCTCTCATAAAAAAGTTTGAGATCTACGAGTTCCACTTTTCGGATTTTAACTGCACAGAGATGGAGCTGGTGAAGTGCGGGGTGCAGATGTACTACGAGGTCGGGGTGGTCAAGAAGTTCCAGGTCCCTCAAGAGGTGGTTTTGGCACACAGATAATATTATTTAACTTGATTATAAAAACAAAGACCGTTTGACTCATCAGTTCTCTTCCGTCAGGCGCTGGTTCGGTTCATGTACTCGCTCAGTAAAGGCTACAGAAAAATCACCTACCACAACTGGCGTCACGGCTTCAATGTGGGCCAGACCATGTTTACACTCTTAACGGTAGCGCTTTTTAATATCATTTTCTTCTGTATTTAAATGTCGGCAAGCACTATAATGTTAATTTTAAAGCCTGGAAGCCTAAATAAGGTGAACTATCTACAACATTTTCTTTGTTATGACCTCTCTGTGTGTGTTCAGACGGGATTGCTAAAGCGGTACTACACTGACTTGGAGGTGATGGCCATGATAACGGCAGGCTTCCTCCATGATCTTGATCACAGAGGGACCAACAACTTGTACCAAGTCAAGTAAGTGCTGTTGATTTTTTTACATTTCTTAGTGGAAAGATAATAAAATCTACACACAAATAAATACGCATTGCTAATAGAGATAATCAGAGAGGTTCAATAGTAACACTGATGTGTCTGTCCCATAATACTGCTTAATATCATGGTTTGCTGACAGTAAACACACTTTATCATATTTCGAAAAATCTACATTTGAAGAGAATAAAACAATTTAATAGAACAAAGAAGAAAATAAAAAGTATATTAGAACATTGAGAGTTCGGGAAAAATGTTTGTAAAAGGCCCATAAAGTCCTTTGATATGTAAATGCTTAAGCCTTAGACTTAAAACTGATGATATTGTTGTTAATCTTGAATTTATCTATGCCAACAGATCTGGCAACCCTATGGCTAAGCTCCATGGCTCCTCCATCCTGGAACGACACCATCTAGAGATGGGAAAGTTTCTCTTGGCTGACGAGGTAAGAAAGGAGAGGTGAAGTAGACAGGAACATCATTGAAATGTCTATAACTGATGCCCATCCGTCTCATCCTATCCACAGTCACTGAATATCTACCAGAACCTTAACAGGCGCCAGGTTGAGCATGTGATTCATCTAACAGACATCGCCATCATCGCCACTGACCTGGCTCTTTATTTCAAGTAAGCAGAATCTCTTATAGTCTCACTTTACTTTATTATTACCTCGCTCTTTCTTGTTTTTTTTAAACCATAAAAACACATGATGATTAATGGTTAAATGACTCCTCTCCTCCTACTTTGCCAGGAAAAGAACAATGTTTCAGAAGATTGTGGATCTTTCCCACACATACGAGGATGAAAAGAAGTGGGTCGACTTCATGTCCCTTGAAACAACCAGAAAAGAAATTGTCATGTGAGTGCAACGAGCATGTAAGTTGTTCTTTGTTCCTTTAACAAATATCTGATCCTCTAAAAAAAAATCTTTTTTTCAGGGCAATGATGATGACCGCATGTGACTTGTCAGCCATCGCCAAGCCTTGGGAGGTACAGAGCAGGGTGAGAAGAAGAAAATATGTCATAAATCAGTGTCTAGCTGAGTATTTTTTGTTTTGTGTGAATGTGTTATTTTTGTGTGTCTCTTTCAGGTTGCCTTGTCTGTAGCAGCAGAGTTTTGGGAGCAGGGTGACTTGGAGAGGACAGTCCTTGAGCAGCAACCTATTGTGAGTTTACAAATAGTTTTTGTAAATATGTCTTGATTTTCATCTTTGTTGAAAATGTGCATATGAGAAAGCGTATGTTAGTATCAGTGAATGTAGGCTACTTATGGTTTATAAAATGTCCCAGACATTTTAAATAAATTATAATATAAATGACACGTATAAAAAATGTTGATTAAACTGATTTAAAATGACTCTCCCATATCAGACTTTGTGCTTATTAGGCTACTTAACATAAGAATGTTGAAAATAACCAGGAAGGAAAGAGATGATGTCAGGCAGGTGTGTTTAGTAACAAGAAGTTATAGATTTTTTTTTTATGTAGATATATTTTTGACTCAAACACTGCCTGTCCCTCCCACCAGCCCATGATGGACAGGAACAAGTCAGCAGACCTTCCAAAGATGCAGTGTGGCTTCATTGACTTTGTCTGCACTTTTGTCTATAAGGTAATGTTTAGTATTGCAGTCTGATTATTTGCGTCTGTTCAGTTAACCTTTTTTTCATCATAACCCCCTTCTCCTAAAGTGCTTTTTTTAATCCTTGCATTTGTTTTTTTTAAGCGTGATTTGTCCCTTTCTTCTCAGGAGTTTTACCGCTTCCACCCACAAATCAAGCCCATGCTGGACGGCATCCTGAATAACAGGAAGGAGTGGAATGCTAGAAAAGAGGTGTATGAGGCATCACTCAAAGCCATAGAGGACGAGAAGGCAGCTAAAGAGACCAGTAAAGGTGCAGTGATTGTTTTGATATCGCACAACTGTGAAATGTTTTAGAAGCATTGCAATGATTTGTTTTCAATTGTATTCATATTTGTGCCATTGCGTAACATTTTGTATCACCTGTTGATGATAGCCTGTATACCAATGTGCTGATTTATAAAAATATTGAATATTTTCTTTTGTATGTCTTTTTCTACCAGCTCCTCAAAACCCCAGTGGAGGCTCCAAGACTTGCTCAATGTGCTAAAAGGTCGGAAAGCTTCTCACGCGATGGGAAGGCACACGGGCAACCTATGACAGACTGACTTCAGTCTTACTGACCAGGAAAACATGAAATAAAGACGGAAACTAGAGTAAATGCAAATAGTGGACACATTTTTTCAGACAAACTGGTTGAATCGAAAGAAGGAAAAACGTTTATATTTAAGAAAAACTTAACATTTTTTTTATTGAAGACAGGAACTCTTGGGAAAAACCCAGAAATAGTCATGACTAAGATATGGATCAAGGGTAAGGGTGATTTTTGAATCTCAGGTTATCACCCACTCATCCCCATATAGTATCAGCTTCCTTACATGTTAAGGATTATTGTTAGTTCAGATGGTGCAGATATGGTTATGGGTGCTTGTTTCTTTGCTGTGGGACAAACATTTCTTTCCACAGTTTCTTTGAAGTTATGCAATACTGAAAAAAGATGTATGTTAATCTGTGTTGTAAGTGATGCCCATGTACAATATTATGTAACACATTATACAATTCTTTAATGCAAAGTCCAAGGCACAGCAGATGGTATATCTTGTTTGGAGCTGTTTTCAAACAAACTGTAAATTGTACATAAATATGATATTCATTTAGGGGTTCAGAATGCACATTTTAGAAAATGAGTACATAGATATATAGTTGAACTACTGTACTGTACATATATTTTAAAATGATCATTTCATGTTCACTCCTTCCAGTCACTTACCATTTACAAATTAGTGTTGTTTACCTTGATTGCAGAGAGCCAAATGTAGATTAATAAAATATATATATTTTTAGTTACGTTTACTAGCGTGCATTTATCAGATACAAGTGTTTATGCAGTGGATATACCCATAAGAAATATATACGTAGAATTACTGGCTGGTCAGTATTGTAAAGCTTGCCTCTTCACATATACACTGATGACACAAATAAAGCAAATATATTTTTACGAGATAACTGTGTGAATTTATTTCTGTAAATTACTTTTCTCACTTTTTCCTGAAACTTGCCTAGAAACCAAAATAAATTACTTTTGAATTACATCATAGAAATATCACTATCCTAATTTTGAGGGTCAGCAAAATGAAATGACCTTTAACAATGTAATAGCATGCACTGTTTATGCAACAAGGTAAGGTAGAGTATGTAAGAAGGTTTTAACAGAACACAACGCAAGAGTATTTAGGGAACATTTCTGTCCACACTGCACTTTTTACTACTGGTCCCTGACCCCAATCCTGGGATTGCTGCTTGGCCAGGATTACAAACAGGCTCATCTCCTACTGAAGGACACACACACACACACCTTTACTCTGTGAAGGATTCTCAATTCTCTAATTCCCCTCCTCGACTCCTATCCTCGTGTCTTAGTCCCGCCCACAGGAGATGCGAGCGGAGGAGTCGGAGGGGAACCGAGGAGAGAGGAGTAGCAGGCGGTTAGAGAAATTAGAAATCCTCTCCTGTGAGCAGTCATTTTAAAGAGACGTCCATTAATGATGACAGGAGGCACAGCAGCACTGTCTGATGGGCAGAACTGTGTTCATGATGACTTATATATTTACTTTTAATTCATTCACAGTGCGGTATAATGAGACAATAACAGGCTACAGATGCGGACATATACACACACACATATAAATATATACAATTTCAGATTCAAACAAGTATGAGAGCACTCTCATAACGTAACACTATCAGAGACTGGATATACCCCCCCTCTCTGGTCGCTGCAATGGGGAAATTAAATGACGGGCCAAAAGTTGTATTTACAATTATTAAAAGTAAGCAGAGGACACCAAACCAACTGAGACCTGTCTGTCTGCTGCACACACACACACACACACACACACACACACACACACACACACACACACACACACACACGACTCTATGTAGATATCTACTAAACTAAAGCATACAAATAAAGAGAGTAATGTAGGCCTGTTATACTGAGTGATATATATTATACACACTGCTCTGCTTTCTGCATGGCCCTTACAGCTGTTCTCACTGTAAACATCGCATCGCGATTCAAGTTAATAAAATAATATCCAGGGGATGCATGCAGAGAGCTGTCATTGGCTGAGATAAGTCCGGCCGTGCGTCACGACTCTTTTAAACATCACTATTGCCGGAAATACATCCGCGGAGGACCCATCAGTGTATCCTCGATTATAGCTCCTCCAGAGAGCCTCCTCGATGCTCGATCCTCGGTCCTCGAAGTGCATTTAGAGAAATTAGATGTCCTTCAACATGGCGCGCTGAAATCCATTTCCGGGTCACTACCGGAGGACTGAGGAGTCGAGGAGGGGATATTAGAGACATTAGAAACCTTCAATGTGTGTGCTAAAGTGTGTACAGGCTCTGTCTTTACATCACGTACAAACTAAACCAACACAGTCTCACTCCCTGATCGTCCAATAGCGACGCTTGGTCAGGGTCCTTTGGCATGCAGTTGTGACGCACCGAGTCTCCTTCAGCTTCATAAACGGACGCAAAGAGCTTTCAATGGATTGCAATGTATTCCCATCGGCGGCGGTATACGCTCAGGGAAGCACAGCATCCGTCCATGGGTGCGTCTCACTTCTCTTATTTTTCATTTCCTCGCTACTCGGGCTCGGTATCACCGGAAGTTGATTTGTCTGCGCCATCTTGAGTACCGTCCCAGTGGCCGAGGATCGAGGATCGAGGAGTGATAACGGAGGAGCGATAATCGAGGAACTACCAGACCACCCTCCGGTGAAATCCACAGACACTCGCCCCGCCCCCTTACTGTGTATCGCTCACTGATTGGACGATGCAGCACATGCACTGATCTGGCTACTTCGATCAGCTGTGCGGCGTCATCACAAACGGACGTCGCTTCACGCGACGCTCCGGAGGAAACGACGTCCCATTGCTCTTAAAACTCATTTCCCTGCTTCTCGTGGGTTGCGGTCCAATAGTCCATTTAGCTTATGAACCTTCTTAACCGAGTGAAATGACCCGGAAGTACGTCAGTGGCAGCCATGACAAGTGCCGTTCCAAGGTTGCGGTCGAATAGTCCATTTAGCTTAGGAACCTTCCTAACGGAGTGAAATGACCCGGAAGTCCCTCAGTGGCAGCCATGATAAGTGCCGTTCGAATTCTCTAAATTAAAAGGAAAGGAGGTTTCAAACTTCCTTTATAACCTCCTTTAGCTTAGGAACCACTGGACCTCCCTAACCGAAAGGAGAGGAGAAAATGCTGCCCCACAATGCCTTGCGGCCGCGGCATTTGCCGTCACACAACAGTCGGCCGTTCACGGAAACAACCGATTATGAACGAGAAATGATATCATGAAAGTTACGGTGCTTATTAAGCATTTTAAAACGTATGTGGTAAGTTGCCAAAGTGCTTTGTTTTGAACGTTCATCAGTATTATAATCAAAAAGAGAAATATGAACGTTAGTTTTTACTGAAATGATCAAATAAAGTCAAGATTTCACAGTCTTTACTGAGCTGTGTGGGGTTTGTTCAACTTTTAAAAGATGTTTGAATGGTGATATACACAGTGATAGATGTTAAGGACTAACGTTTATAATAAATACATTTGTATTGATTTTAAGATCTTTTCATACAATCATACGTATTGGGATCATTTGTATTAATGTGGACCGGAGGGAGAGGGTGACGAGCATAAGTTTCACTTTCCTTTTTTATTTCAATTCCAACTTTGGTCATGAAGAATATGTTTCTCTGTTGTCCCCGTTCATAAAGCATAAAACAACAGCATCAGAGCACGGTGCAGAGTCTCTAGATGAGTTTACAGTAGTCCCTCGTTCTTATTAAACATCCATGTTGTAGTCCGCTGTATAGAAAACTGTAGTTTCCATAGTTTCCCCACAGCAGCAGGCGCACATTTATGACCTCCGCTGGCGCATCATAAACACGTCGGATAGTGAAAGTGCAGTCGGATTCTCTAAAGTACCGCAGTCTCTTCTCCTAAATCCTTTTGAATTCTCCTATCCACTATCCCTTAACCCCATGACGTTTCACTCCGAGGTCAAGGAATAGACGATAGGGTTAGAATTTAGGAGCTGTTTTTTTGGAGTATTCGACCGCAACCCAATTCTCTAGATCAGTTGTTCTCAACTGGTGGGTCGCGGACCGAATCCTTTTTTTTTTTTTAGGAAAATAGTCAAACTTTTATTTTGAAGGCCCAATTTTCTAACGCTGTGCATGCAGTAGGCGTTGGACTGGAAGTACCGGAGACCATAAACGGTTTTGAAAACTTCTGTCACGTAGTGATCATCTTCTCAATAAAACATCTTTGCCGATGTTTTTTCGAGTCTTCTGGGCAATCAGAATCAAGATTGTTGCCGGAAGTCCCCACGGAGAATAACTTTGCGGTAGAACTATTCTTTATACATCCATGGGTACAATTTCAGATAAAAATGAACAAACAATGAAATATGACCCCCGGTTTGATGATTGACAGGTCACAGAACAATGGGAGCTATCTGCTACTTTCTCAGTTAACGGTTTGAAAGCTGCTAGCCCCAGGTGCTCAGGCTACATCCATGCTCTCTCCTCACTGCTGCCCCACACAGTGGAGGCGGCCGCAGGGCACTGTGGACCCTGCTGAGGGACTCTGGGCTGTGAGTAGAGATGGAATAAGTATGGCGGTGTGTTTACCTTCCTGAGGTATTTACACCGTTGCTTTGTTGATGTTCTAGTGTTTTTTTTAGGCTGGTTGTGTCTAGTTTTTGAGGCTGCATTAAATTGTGCTAAAGGAGGGATAATGCAAAGCTGTAACCAACTATTATTTTCATTATCAATCATCTGCTAATTTGTTTCTCTGAAGCAGACTAACCCTCAAAAAATTACTCGACCAATTAGATTTACAATATTGTTGCTGATTCATTATCTATTCATCAAACTATCAATTACTAACTTATAATTCAGCTCCACCAATAAATAAAAACGCAATAACACTGGGTAGAAAGATACCAATCACCTTGTCTCTAACCTCTATCTATCATGTGTGTCACTGTCAATAACTTAACCAACAGCACCATACAGTCTGTGAACATCAAACATTGACTTCTACTTTTATCCAAAATCTGTCAGGTTTGTTTTTGTAGTTCCTGTTGGCTGCCACTAGATGATAGTGCTTCCCTTCTTGCTCCTTAACTGCACCGTTAAATCGAGTTGAAGTCATAATTCAACATCAGGGTTTTTTGCATGAGATATTCTCATGAAACAGGAGCTCTCTCTCTATAGCAGATGTGCTATTGCTTATACAAAAGGACAAATAAAGATGTTTAGACAAAAATCAATATGTATTTTATAAATGTATGTACAGTACAATAGAGACATTTTGGCACCAACAGTTGTTTATTCTACATGTTAAAATTTGAGACAAAGACAACAGAGTTAACTACGGAGCTGTTAAAATGCCAGTTGGCCTTAAAGTTAGGAATGGAATATACAGTATCCTATTATGGACATCATTTAAAAAACAGAAAAACAATAATGTTTAAAACATGTAGATCTTCCTACCAAATTACAGAGCACAATAGAAGCATACATGTAAATACAGTGCTGTGGAGTTTTTAAATGCTTAACGAAAATACTGTTTGGTTACAAATGTTTCCCATTTTGCTGAAAAGTTGCAAGTAACCTTATTCCAATAGTTTGTTTTGTGTTTTTGAAGAAAACTACATTTAAAGGATGACATTTAAGAAATTAAGCTGGCCAAATTCCAGATCTCTGAAACATCGCCCACATGTCTAATCTATTCTGTGACTCAAATGTTGATAAATAAATATTTAAGAGAACATTTGAAATTTGGTCTAATTAATTAAATTAATAAATAACATGAACAGTATGAGTGTGAAACTATAAACCCAGTGCGATGGTTCTAATCGTTGTCATAGATGCAATCTGAAAAGAAAATACAATATTTATTTTAAAATGTGTTTCTTTTCAAATGGAGATTGGGGTCCACTGCTTAAAAAAGGTAATAAAAAACATACCATCTCCAATATCATCGTAGATATCACCATCACTGTAAACAAAAACAAAACGATCAGTACCGACAACATGTTCTTATGTCTCTCTTTCTTAATAATAATAATAATAATAATAATAATACATTGTATTTGGAGGCGCCTTACATAACAGCCAAGGTCACCTTACAATTCACAAGTCTTCTAAAATCAGTATAACCAGACTTGTGTGTACTTATGTGTGTGAATGTTTGTGGTACTTACTCCGTAAATATGTGGCCGGTCGAAACATAACCAACTGTAAAATACACACAGAAGCAGATTTTAGACTTGGGTCGTCCAATTTTGTGTTGCGACGAATAAAAAAAAACTGTTGTGTGGGAATCTTAAATATTTATAAATGTTTTTGCAACCCCTAACAATGAGCTGCAGATACTCACATTTCCCCTCATCGTTCCGGCAGATCAGTTTGTTATCCACGGCGTTAACAATTACGTCAAGTTTCTCTCCTGCTCTGACTGCGAGCTCCTTCCCACTCCACTTCTTATTCGTCAGTGTCGGGGCGATGGTCACCTGGTTAAGCACCTGTATCTCCCCTTCATACTGAAAGAGAACGACATCATCAATGTTGCGACTATTGACACCACATTTGTTTTTAATGTAGGAAAAGCTTTGCCAGTTTAACTTTATATTCACCAGTATTATTATACCACATTTTCAAATTTAATTTGATATAAAGTATTATTTGTAGCTGTAGTCTGAATTCATTTTAATTATAAAGCGACAGTTTAATTTTTTTTTGCAGCGGTCAAATAAACATGCTTGAAGACATAATAGAGCAACACACTTTAAACTTTTTCCTGAATTCCTTCTCCTCTTTCTCAAACTTTTTCTGCTTTTTTGGGTCCATGTCTAGAGTCTTGCTTCTGCCTTTTAGTGGTGGAAGGCTGCAGAGAAAAAATATATATTTTATGTCACTTTTTTAAACCTCTGACAGTTTTGAAAATACAGGTCAAATCATAGATATAAGTAGTTGGGAATTATTGTACCTGCTGATGGTCGGAGGAACGGGAGGCCCACTTTGAGAGTCAACATCGTCGTATATATCCTCATCAATTGCTGTGACAACACGTACAAAAATAAGTTAGTTATGGAATATTTTTTACTTTATTACCAAAGACATTACATGAATTCAGAGGGGGCACATTTTAAACAAACTACAAAAAAAGACCATCAGCATGATTTGAAGAGTAGGTGTGTCAGTCGGAGATTCAAACTAGCACATATCTACTTTATATTATATAGGAAGGACAAATACTGGGAACAAGTATCCTTTTTCATCACATATCCACATGGTATAATACTATTACAGTGAGTGATACCTGAATTCCCCTCCGCATTGAACTGTTCTGGTGGAGGCATTCTGGCACAAGAGAATAAAAATAGTTACAATTTGACATAATTTATATCATTGCAATATCGTTAATCAAAAGTAGGTTAGTATGATTCAGAGCAACCACACATGGGGATCACATTCACTGATTTGAACACAATATTTAGTTAGTATACTCGACATTAACGGACAATTCCTTTATACTACGATCTGGTTAACAATCATATATTAATTTAAGACATGCAAATGAGTTGAAAAGGTTAATAAAATCGTCAACAGTTAATGCACTGATTATAACAGAAACAACGTGTGGATTAGTCATCCTTCAGTGTTAGTCGGTAAGTGTTTTGGATCTGATTTGGGGAGAGAATCAACGTTCAAAATCAGCTTCATCTGAGAGGAACACTAATATCTAAAAATGAGTGATGAGTGATTATGAACAGTAGATCTGTGATCAGTCTTAGTACTGAGTGTATTTTACTCTTTAGTGCTGGATAGACGTCTGTTCCGGTCAAACATCTGCAGGAAGCTACGAGGCTTCTTAGGAGAAGACCTGCAGTCCGTGGGACTAAAGAGCCAACCAATCATGAACATATCTGCATTTCTTTCAATTCTTTTAACTTTCCTGTCCACATCAAACATATTGTACTGAGATAATCGTACTCCATCTGACTATTGAAAACAACAAATAAATGCCTACATGACGTCCAGGTTTGGATCAATATCATCATATATTTCTTCTCCGTCTCCTGGAGGTGGGGGCAGGACAACTACAGGAAAACAGTAAAGATGTTACGATAACATATTTCACCAAAAACAACCTTGATATTAACTGAATGAAATGATTGTAAACAAATTACGAGGACATTAATATGTTCATTTTTAGGACATACCTCCTGGTCTTTTCATTCCACTGTAGGGTAAGAAGAATTTGAGATAAACATTATAGATTGAGTAAACCTTTGTTTTGGCAAGTTGATACATGTAATAAATTGGGTCATAAAGCTAAACTCATCTTGCAATGTAACGTGTACATTACTGGTTAATTATGAGCTTGAATGGTGCTGGTATTTGTATTGTTTTTAAATCTTTTACAAGCTACCTGTTAGCTATTTCTTTCCATTCTTTGTGCTAAGCTAAGCTAAAACTGCAGATATAATGCCATCTAACTCTCTGCAAAAAATGTATATTAATCAAACATATTTCCTTAAGGGTCAACTTTGAATATTCTGAGCAAATCACAGAAAACAAAATGACATTTATTTAATAATATCTACAATAATATACGGTGAAAATGTGAACTTTTTAATATCTGTGTGTCTGTGTTGCGTAAAGCTGAAGTTCTCTTGTTCTCTCTCCAGTCATTTCAAGTGCAACTTGTCTGTGCATCAAACTGGTGTTGAGTAAGAGTATATAATTCAGTACCTGTTATCAGAAGACATCACATCGATGTCGTCGTATACTTCGGGGTCGTATGCCGGCTCAGATTTATGCCTCTTCAGAGTGTTGAAGTCAATTTCCACTGAAGTGGTCTTCACATAACCAACTGTTGGATAGATGTTGGGTATTAGTCATTGCATGTGTAGCTCATGAATAGATGGAAAATAAACAGATAATCAGAGACATATTCAAAGGCTTATTCTGTATTAACAGATTGTTTTGAAGGATGTTAAGAAAAGGATACGTGAAATAGCTGAGGATTAAATACGTGGACTCACTGGATCCATCCTGCAGTCGACCCACCCACTTCCCCTCGGGGTTGCCCATGACACGGATGATGTCCAGGCAGTCTCCATGCTTCAGAGCCAGGTCGGTCTTACTCCCTTTACAATCCACACACGCCTTCCCCTGGTGGATGACGTCCAGGGAGCCAACCAACTAACACACCAAGCCATACACAAACACATGCAAACAGACAAGAAACAAGAAATAATAGATTGTTACATTCATTTAGATATTTATCCCTTTTTATGCTTAGCTAAGCTTACTCCCTGCTGGTTTTAGTTTCATATTTTGTTCCATTCTTGTTGACTCACTTTATATTTCTTTCTGGCATCTTGTTCCTTCTTCTGCTGCTTTTTCTCAGCCTCCAATTGTTTTTTCTCCTCCTTCTCGTCTTTCTCTCTCTGCTTGTCTTGTTTTTGTTCAGATTCCTCCCTTTTGAGAGCAAAAGAGATTTGACAATAGACAGTAAATTATAAAATTGGACAAATGGGTTTAACACAGCATTTATAAGATTAGAAAACACATTTCTGAAAGTACAATAACCTTTTGTATGGTTGCAAAACAACCACCAGAGAGCAGTGTCGGTAAAGGTAGGTATAAACACAGCTGAACTGGGATTTGAACCAACGTTCGAGTTAAAATCAGCAAACTTAGTTTTTTTGGCAGGGCTTTTTCATAGATATGAAAAAGATGTTGGATAAACAGGTGAAGATTTAATGAAGAACACTCTCTCACCATCGGTCTTCAAGATCCTCATACATGTCTTCATCATCATCATGATCAACATTTTCCTCCTGACCAAGACACACATAAAGAAGCAATAGTTAGAACAGCAGAAATTAGTTTACTTTAAAGGGGACCTATCATGCAAAATGCACTTTTGTACGTCTTTTATACATGAATATGTGTCCCCGGTGTTCCAGGGAACTCACCAAGTGTCAGAAAACACAACCCTCTCTATTTTCCTCCATACCCAAATCTCTAAAAAAGGGGCTACAACGGATCTGATAAAAACTGATCCAGATTTGAACACTGTCCTGACGTCAGGACGGTGGCGCTACGGCTATTGGGCCAACTCCACCAATCAGGAGGAGACAGCCACGGCCATTGCCGTTCGAAAGCGCTGGAGACGCTGTAGTACATATGCCAGGCCTGTAGATGGTGCTGTTCTCACTGAATCTGCCCTTGCTAAAACAGAGCTAGAAATGGTCAAATTGAGCAAAATGAGGCATGGCTAAAATGCATGATCTGTTTGGTATTTTGAAAAAAAAAAAGTATAAATATGCCTTATATAGGTATGGTCCTACACTATATTATTCAAATATAGCATGATAGGTCCACTTTAATACATGATTCAGTTCATACTTGAATCACTTCAAACCTCTATAGTCTCGTGTTAACACATTTTCTATCTTTGCCCCAATAATTATAATTTTTTAATTCCTCCTCTTTGAATATCTGCTCTTTCTTTGCACACTACTTATATGCACATATATATAGTCACACACCACCAACAATGTATCCTGAAATCAATCTAACTTGCATATTTTATTTGTTTTGTGCATACACTGTAAGTTATTATCATTTACAAGAATCATCTGTTCTAAATCGTGCTGTAGCTGGATGTTCCAATACATGTTGCTACATATTGCACCATAAGGTTTAGTGTTTGGGTTAGTCACATGTGTTTTTGTGGTAATCACAAATGACTTTGCTGATTCACAACACTTTGTCCTGTTGAGTTCAAATCTTTGTAATCACTGAACTGTTCATTTGCCTTTTTCCTTCAGCACAATTGCATTTCAGTAATTGGTCACTAAGGGAATGAATCAGGGATTATACAGCGTGAAGTTAAGCAATGATTCTAATTAACATAGGTTCAGCAGTATGTTCAGTCTGTTTTAGGTGTGCTTCAAGATGTCACATTCAGTTTGGTACAAAGCCAATACAAGCATTTGACTAATGTTCAATAGCTTCATTTGAAAAATATACATGTGCTGACCACCTCAAATGCATTTATAAGCACACAGACAGGCGATACCGCAGCATCCGTACTAAAACCACCAGATTCTGAGACAGTTTCATACCACAGGCAATAAGGCTAAACCACTGAACTGCTGAAACAACATCTGTTAAACACCTGAACTGTTGAAACAACATCAATAACATTCATCTGCTACTTAGTAATTATTTATCTATTTCTCTAATATATCATTCCAATAACTTGCATATAGACTCTTATTGCACTATTTCACTATTTCACTTTTTTAAACTATTTTTCTTTTTGTATTTACTATTTACTATTTACTTGCACTATATTTTTCTGTTTATCTGTGTTATTGTGTTGCACTGTTGACCTAAGATTTTCATCGGCATAACTACACTGTAGCTATGTTTGTATGACAAAATAAAGAACCTTGAACATGCACGCTATTTATCTAAGTGAGTACAGTATGTCTGCATTTAAATGTGTAATCACATGCAAATCTGTATTAATGTGAAATTAAATCAACATATCTCACCTTTGCTCTCTGACTGGGATGACCTAAAGAGAAACAAAGAATCAACATTACAGGAGAATATGATTCTTATGGAAAAGCTCATCATCTGCCTTTAACTTGAGCTTTGAGTGTTTTTAGTAACATTAACAGTGTATCGTAAACATGTTATCTCTTGACTCTGAATCATGTAAAGCAACGTTTCTTGAGGTTTCACTCACACTGAATGGAAATCTAGACTGTCTAGAGATAAATAGACAACTTTGCAGCATTTCTTAACTGTCAATGCTGCAAAGTCATACCTCCACTGCATGATTCTATCCCACATTGAATACTGTTTCACAAACTGGTCGTTTGCTTGTGCCACACACCTGAAACCCATAGAACAGCTGTACAAGAGAGCTATCAAGGTTTTTGACAGAAAGCCTTATTCATACCACCACTGTCCCATCCTTGAAAAACATAATTTCTTGAGTTTTGACAATTTTAAGTCTTTTAAAAGTATGTGCTTTTTTATAAATGTTTACATGGACTGGCCCCCCCCCTCCCTTAGGGAAAAAAGTAGGTAATAAGTCAGTAAGGCCGACTATTCACTGCCAAGCTATACTGACTAATGTAGTCTTCTGATATCTAAATATGGTACAAGGTTCACCATCACACAGTCCTCTCATGTCTTCCTGTGGCACAAAAACGCCTTTCCACAGTGCAGTCATGATAATTCACATATATTTAAATAGTGATTGTTCCTGAACCTGTAGATGGTGGTAGAGGCGGGGGATCCTCGTGGAACTCACCCTGCTGCATCCTGAAACACACAGTCAGAGGTTACCTTCAGAAAACATACGGTATAATCATTATTTAGTTGGTTTTTCCCTCCAATAATGTGGCGCTTACATGGCTCCAGGGTGTCCGGGGGGCAGCCTGGGAACTGCAGGCTGAAGGGGTTGAGGTGGGGTCATGTTGTTGCTATGGATACTGGCGTGAGAAGGAATCGGGAGGGTTGGTTTCTTAAAGCTGCCAGGACCTGTGACAGAAAAACAGGATGTTAAAAAATAAATCAATTACTGTAAGTTATTTACCAGTGCCCAACAATGATACATTGATGCATAGAGAACTATGGACCCCTTAAAGGACTAGTGTGGTTGCTCATGCAAAACAGAAACCCCTGATATACACTATGACCGAGTGAAAAGACGCAAAATGGTTATTTCTGCTGTTACAATTTTTTCTCATTCTTTATGATGCTTTTAAGTCAACGTGTATCCCTCACCTCTGACTGAATACCAATGTAGGTCAGGTGTTTGTCTAAATACAGAACCAGTCACTTCAAACGATCCCTGTTTGCTGGATTTACTTCCTCATATCGTGAACACAATGTATTCTGTCAGAGTGGAGAGTGGGGGGGGGGGGGAGAGAAAGGAGAAACTGGACAGGGAACTTGGCTGGGGAAATAGAGGAACCAAGGGTGTTTCAGTGACTTTGGTCTCTTATCTTGTGCTATGAACAACTGCAAAGCAGCTTTTGCAAGACTTGTATTCATTTTGTACAGAATGTACACAATTTAAAATGTAGACGCTGTATAAAATGATTCCTTAGATGTTCAGATGAATTGACATTTACGAGTATAATGCACATGCAGGTGTTGTTATCATTGCTGGTTTCTCAGATGACCAAAGATACACACAAAAATGCAGGCTACACGTTGCTAATGTCACTGACACTTTAACTATTGAAGGAAGTCATTTTCACACTTCTGAAACGCAGTAACAGATCCTGCTTAAAGTGGCATTTCCTGTGACAGAAAAGAAATGGACTGAAGATCAACACAAATAAAACTGTAACAGGAACCCCTTCTAGTTAAGTTTTGTATCAGGTCAATATCTCGTTTGCAGCAGAGACCTGAGAACGAATTACATCTCTATAGGATCACAGATTAGTCAGTTACCTGAACTGTTGACATCATTTTACTGAATTTCTAGGAAATCTTAAATAAGTAAGATTTTTTAAAGATTTAAATTGTTATATCCCTTCCAAGAAAAACAAACAAACCTTGTGTCCTCAATGGCAACAGGTCACCACAAATAACATACATATATCATCACTGCAAGAGGAATTTGTTAATCTAACTTGAAATATGTTTATACATGCACAAAATTAGATCGGCTTGTTTTTTAGATTTAAATCTGTAATATCTTCAAATTCAACTTTATACTTTTGAATCCAGCAAAATAAAAATAAAGGAATAAGGCATTCCTCTTTCTTGAATAATTGCTCATCTTCAGCAGATAAATAAGCAAAGGTCCCCCCTATATAGAGCTCTTAGTATGTATGTAAATGTCCCCTCTGTGGGTCTAATAAAGGTATTCTGATTCTGATTCTGATTCTTTGAAGCCTGCAACTTCTCACTCTAATCTAAATAAAGAATGCTTGCTTGGGTTTAACGGTCGCACCTAAAGTGTGATGACACTTCCTTACTGGGGTTAAGCTGTTATTCATTTGGTGATGCCTCAAACTGTAATGCAACTTTGTAAGAAGCAACTCTGTAGTGCATTGCACATTGACAAATGGAGTCATTTGTGCAAATACTCATACAGATATTAACCCCCTAGATTGGTACATTTACAGTATAGTGTCACAAACCAGCCTTTTAATTCCTTATGTACCCCTACTTACCATTATCAGAGGCCACAGCACCTCTTTTAAAGCTCTCCAGGTCGACTTTAGGGGGTCGGTTGGGTTTGGCAGGAGCAGGGCCCAACGCTAAACTGTTGGGGAGGGGGTTTTTCTTGGGGCCTGAAGTGGCATCATTGGTAATGCTGCTTGTCTGAGGAAAAAGCTTTGGAGGTTTTTTGATGCTGGGTTTTTTACTGGCTAGAGGTTTTGGAGGAGGGACAGAGTTGGTGGTGGTGTTTGACGGTTTGTCATCTGCTACCTGGCCGTTATCTGACTCTTTGTTGAAGGTATTCTGAGCAGTCCTGTAGTTGATCGGGGGCTTAAAAAGGTTTGCCGAAGGTGAAGGTTTGTTCGCAGTGTTGAGGCCAGCTCCTGCCAGTTCTTCATTTTGCTGCATTAACTTTCCAATGCTGCTGCTCGGTTTTGGTTGTAAACCTCCACCGCTGTCTTGTTTCACCCAGCTGGGCTTGGAGTTCAATGGTGGGGGGGGTTTAGGATAGGTAGGTTTAGGGTCAGACAGGGTGGAGCTCAGTGGGGGCTTGTTGAAGGGGGGAGGCTTCTGTAGAGGGCCTTTAGCTTCAGAAGACTGTAAAAAAGGTGACTTCAAGGTTGGCTGCTGTTTATTAACGGCGAAAGGTTTTCTGTTGCTGTTGGAATCATCCTGGGTGCTGGCAAACCTGCTTGCTGGGGCTTTAGCAACGTTTGGATCATTTACCTCTGAGTCACTTTTATTTGTTGCTGTGTTTTTCAGATAAGAGGGTTTAGGAGGAGTATTTATGGAACCGCCTGAGAAGGTCTCCTGGACGGGTTTCTTTGTGGGTATGGTGGGGCCGAAGGAGAGGGTGGGGTTAAGAGGTTGTTTGATGCGTCCGGGCGGTGTGAACGAAGACTCGTCAGTGTTGACCCCACCTGCTTGGAACCGAGCCATCATGGCCTTTACATCGGCTTTGTTTGCCTGGAAAGAGTGGAAGAGAATCAGGAAGAAGAATTATAATCAGAATACAAAAGCAGAATTGAAAATAACATTGGGGCTGTGCAGGATGCAAAATGATTTCAGCACAACAAAATATTCTGCCACAGAAACTGAAACTGCTGGAACGAGCAAGAAAAAAAGAAATCCTCATTATTTGACTTTTATGAAACTTCACATGGGAACGGAAAGTTGCTTAACATTAAAAAGCCTTATTTGCTCTCAGGGGATTTCCTTCTCTCTTTTCCAATCGCTTTATGTGATACATGCTGTTTTCTGTGGTTACTTAACCTCTCTGTTTGCTTCTATTGGCCACTCATAAAACACTCATACCTATTGACACAAACCATGATACAAACACACAGAGCAACTACACACACAGCTCTTGCTGAAGAGGTACAAGTTGTCCATTCATCAGAGGTTCAGGCTTGCTACATAAGGAACAGACAATAAACCCAAAGTGATAATAATTAGCATCAACGCTCACCTTTCCACGTAAGCCATTGGTGTGTGAATGTGTGTGTCACCAACATTGGGTTATTAGAGCTTGGATTGGCAATCTTTATAAACTAGCAAGAGTAGAGTTGATTTTGAAAGTATCACACTGAAATAAAACGAACCAAGTGTTGTTATCCGTTTCCAATAAAAGTAGCTAGCAGGACAAGCTCCAAAAGAAAAGAAAAAGGTGCCATTATTGTTAGCTATACTGTCAGTCTATTTTTTGAGACTTCCCTTGAAAGCTATTCCCCTCAAAATGATAAAGAAAACATTCTTAAAAGCAGATCAAAGTTAAACGACACATAAAGGGAAAGTCTTATATGTAAATGATACACGACTATAAAATAGATAAACTCGTAATTGCAGGTAAAGTGCTTTATTACTTAATTAACAAAAGCTACTTTTGTCAAATATTCATTGAAGAGAGGCAGCTATGTTTGCAATATGAGCTATTTGGTTCCACTAAATGTTTTTAAAGCACGGATAGATGCTATCCAATCAGAAACTGTTGGAACCTGTAAATGTCACTAGCTATGTAAACTGTAGTCGCTGTAAATATGCTGTATGATGTCCTTTTTGTTTTATGTTTATATGTATTCATGTGGAACCTACGTGCAGCAGGTCACCCTTGAAAAAGAGATCAATGATCTAAATGGGATTCACCTGCATAAATAAAGGTTTGAAATAAAATGAATGTCTGTTGTTGAGCCTTAGCAATTGTTTATTGTATTGCAGTTTGATTGGGGGAAGGGAAATGTCAATAAAATAGTCTATTGTGTTGCTTTCAATTGAGCCATTCAAACATCTGGAATGTTTCTCTCCTTTGAGCACAATGTGCAAAATGTTATAACTCAGTATAACTCATGCCGCTTTACGAAGTGCAACAATAAACAGACCAAGTAGGTGCCACTCCTATTGAAATGAGGCAGGTTGGACTGGAGTCAGCACCATACCAGGAAGTAAAGATAAGATCATGAGCACACACACCTGATGTTAGTCCTACAACAGAGCAGTGAAAGTAAGGGGAAACTGTGTGATGCAAAGTATAATGTTATACCTGAAGAAGAATAGGAAGTTCAATAATAAATGTCAGATCTAATAACAACATTTAACCAAATACCTAGCTACAGTATTGTAAAACCAGTCCTACTTGCTTCAAAAAGAAGAAGCTGCTGGGTGTTATTGTAACAAGAATGATTTCTGCATGATGTTTATGAGAGATGCAAACCCAAGTTAAGCTCATGGTTTACTTTTTAATAATTCTGAACGAGTTACATTTCGAGATTGAAGCTTCATGTCTTCTCACGACCTTGACAATTGTTTTGGCTTACATGTTTTAGAATTATGTTAATTTGCAAAACATTTCCAGTCAAGATAGTGCCTTTTGTATGGCATGGAAGTTGTAGGAAATGATTATGTTTTTTGTTATATGCTGGAGAAAATATAACCTTAACTCTGCCTTTAGACTTGCCAAAACATAACCATAAGAACATGTCATAGTTTTAGGTTACTACAAGCAGATATTTGTTGGAAAATGATTGCCAGTTTAAGCGTTTTGCAGCTTTTCAGATTACATTTTTCTACTTTAATTGACATACTGGACTTCTCTGCTCTGCAGTTATATCCCTCCATCATTCAAAATATGGCTACAAATCTTTTATTACGGTATATTGCCGTTTTCTTGGCCTGGGAATGGACACGTAAGGGATGTTGGAGCATTGTTTTTAGCTGAGAAGGCCACTGCCCACTTTTACTTTACATCTAACACCTTTCTTAAGCAAACTCTGCAGCAGGTTCCGTATTTGATGCCCTAAAAAAAGGCTTAGGGTGGAGTGTCACTTTAATAGTGCCAGTAACATCTTGCAGTGGTACCAATACCCTTAGTCTGTCATGATATGGCTGCATATGAAATCAGAAGAAAGTTCCCTCATCACGCGTCTGTTTCTTAACCACAGTGTACTAAAAATGACCCAATATGTTCTTTACCAGACAGTCGCAATTACCGCTTCTCTAAATGTTTGTCCAGTTGCAATTTTGTTTAATGAACTTTCAAATGTTTGAAACACCTCTTAGAATATAGTTAGGCGTTAGCTTATAGCTAAATTTCCTGTTGCTGCAAATATACCATATATTTGTGCCGTCTATGCAGCCATTAAGCATAGGTACATGTTAAGTGCAATGACTAGCTGAGAAATGAAAGAGAAAAGACTCACTTCTTGTCCAAGTAAAGAGGAACCATGATTTCTATTTCCAGTGTGATGAAAAGTGGAGGCCAAAGTTGTCTTGCTCAATCTAGTTAACACGAACCCGCACAAGAAAAATACCAAGAGGGTGAATACTGTTTTTACACAATATAAATGAAGAAATCAAATGGAAACTTTAAATGCAATTCAAATAATTTGGCTCTTTTATTAGATTAACTAAAAGCCTACAAATCGCTACAGTGACTCTGAAGTCCAAGGTGTGTTGAATGCCAGCGTACTATTTAACTTCTATTTAACTTAATCCTCCTGAATCACACATGCACAACTTGCTTAAACACATTGCATTGGTAAATTAATGTGTACAAGAATGCTACTTGAGGAAGTTGTTGCAAAGACATACTTGTCACTCACAATTCTCATATAACTATAAATCTTGTGAAATCTTCATATAGTGCGACATATTTCAAATTGTAGCTTTCAATAGTAATTTAACAGTTTTAATTGCCAGTTTAGTTGTACTCACCATACTGAGAACAGCAGCCCCAGGTACCTCTGCTACGTCCGAATGGTTGGTGTGTAAAGTGCAGCAGAGTGTGTTTGATCAGTGTGTCTGTGTGAGTTTCTGTTGCTGTCGAAGAGAGAGAGGTAAGATATGGTGAGTGACAGCGAGCATTACATGAGTGTGTGTGTTTGTATGTTGAGGGGATGAACATTCTGGTTCAGTTGGTGACATAAGCAGACTACTTCCTCTCTTAGTAGTAAGTATGTTTTGTGTGAGTGTCCCAGCCTCTGTTATCTGTGTGTTTTTATCTGATGGATTTGCCTATCCCTGGCAAACTTCCTGCACATTCCCTCTGTGCTCAACAACTGGTGCCCACTCACTCACTCAGCGGCAGGTGAATAGAAAACACTGTGAGGCTTGTTCCTTTGTTTGAAACACTTCAAATGTGACTATTTTGGGGAAAGAAATGTCACATGACTTGCATTGCAAATAGGCTCACGATAATAAGGCTTACATGCTAAAATGTGGCAGTAAAATGTTAACGATGTTCACCATAAGTTTACAATGTTAGCCTGCGAAAATGTACGAATAAGCATGTATAACTTATTTCACAAGGTATTTGGTCATACAAAGTTCTGTAAACATTTTGATTTTTACCTGAAAGTGGCACCACAGGTACAGTCAGGGGTGTGATAGGGTCCGTGAACGTCTGTGCTGATCTTTCTGAAGTAATAGTTCAGGTATAATGTATTGTATTGGTAGTTTAGTTTTTACTCTGGACCATGTAGTGTTTTTTTGTGTTGACTTTGTGGCCACTTAAGCCTAGGTTAGTGGTTTCGGCACTCAGTAGGGTGGGAAAAACTGGATTATCTCCCTGAATACAGAGAAAAGTATGAGTAAGTGTTTAGAAGAAAGAGGTTGACAAATGCATTGTGTGAGAAAGTGGAACAGGTCAGTGAACCCAATGATAGCTGAGCAGTCCTCCTAGTGGATGTCATGGTTATATTATCATTGCATGACACATTTCAATGGGACTATTCATAGGAAGCTGTGAATGCTTAACAAAAATAAATAACTGTACTTCCTTGGCACAGGCATTTTGTTTTTGTACTTCAGTATGTATGCAGTATGTAAATAATAAAGCACATTTCTTAGAAAATAAGGAGAATTGCTAAGAAACAAACATTAAACGCTTGAAATACATCTATTTCATCAAAGTATGTACCTGGAGAAAATAGACAGACTTTACTCTCATTTTCCTGTCTATGTTAAAACAGTCTTTAATCTGCCTGACTGCCATTCATTTGGACTGTGGAAGCTACAACACACCCACATGCAGATTTGATCATTCCTGTTATAAGGAGACGCTGTTAGATATTTAATTGTATTTGTACGTTATTTGCCCACCAGAGTGTTTCCAAACCTATAATTACTTACTTCTTCTTCCCTTTCTGTAAGATGCAACTACACTTGCAGAAACTAACATCCACATTTAGGCATGTGTGATGTTTTACACAAATGTCCTGTTAACTCACTGCATATCTTCTCATCTGGATTAAATTACGAAGCATTGCTTAAGGATATTTACAGCGTTGCCATGTCATGACTATTCACACTTCTATTTACTGGGCCCCATATATATAAATTGCTCTCTCCTTATTATAAAATCACGTTTGTTTTTTATGTATGGAATTTGAGGACCTTTTATGTACTCTAATCATAGGCATACAGAGATACGTACATGTAAAATGTTTTATTTTTTTCAGAACTGAAAGACTATGCCGTTTAATCAGACTTTGTTAAAGAATGTTCTTGACGCATGCAACGTGTCCAGCATCACTAACTCTTTGTTGTATTGACCCTGAGGTGTCTGGAGACTGCAGCTCTTTAAAAAACAGATGTTTAGCCCAGAATTAAAATGAAGAACATGTTTTTTGTTTAAATACAGTTTCAATTTTAGCATCACAGCGTTTCAGCAGAGGGAAGTTCCATTTTTACATTTTAGACAGTGATTGTGTTTGAGAAAGAGTGGACAGAAGTGTTGCCAGAGAGCTCAATCTGCTCGTCCTTGGAGTACAGTTTAATGTTTCATTGTTACTTCAATGAGCATATGCCTACACCAGATTTTTAAATACAATTTAAAAAAGTTGCACATGTGTTTTCCTTAAGTCTTTCTTGAATGAAACCATTCCTGAAACATTTTCTGCTCAGCTTTCACATTTATTTCTTGCAAACATAAAAATATACAGCTTATTATTGTGCTGAAGATGTGTTTGTAGGTCCTTGTTATTAACTTGTGTATGTTCATGTGTTTGCTGTGTCATCTCCAGAATATAGGAAGCTCTTCTTCACTCCACTACTGTAAATCTTCTTCCTCCTTCCTTCTCATCATTCCTGTGACTGGCGATAGTATGTGTCCTCCGTCCCATCTTCATCATAGCCGGGGTAATGCCCCCCCTCACTGGCTCCTCTCCCTCTGTCCTCAGGGCAGTGGATCCCCAGTCTCTTCTGCAGCTTCTCCTCCTGCACCCGCTGCTCCGTGGAGTCCACCAGGTCGTAGACGTTATCCAGGGTCCACATGGGGGACGGGAACCACGCCTTGACGTCGCTGTCCTTCCCCACAAACAGCATGCTGAAATAGTCCTTACTGATCTTCAGCTGTTCTTTCAGATTGTTTACCATGTCCCTGGATAGAGGTTCGACTTCACTCTGACTATGACCTGCAAGAACAATGACAAGGTGAAAAGTATGTTTTCCTCTCTATAAAGACTGTTTGAAGGAATTACAAAAATGAACTTATTACCGTTTAGGGGCAAGAGTTCAACAGTTCCTGATGCTTTGTTCCCAGTTCCAATCAGCTTCAACATGGCAAAGTGGCGAATGCCTGAGGAAAGACCCAACATTTTTTTTATTAAAGATTTATTTAATGTTTAAAGAAAATAGCTTTTGCAGGATGGCCAATTATAAAATTACTTATATATTTTTACATAAATAATGTATTTTCAAAAATGTAATAAACTCTGAAAATATGTCAAAGAGTCCAAGTATAAAGTGGCATTAAAAACACTAAAAGTACATCTACCTTCTAATTGTACTCAAGTACAGTACTCAAATGTAATTGTAATTGTCGACCTCTGCAATTAGCTGTCTTAATACATAAGAATACGTTATAGGAAAAATAAAGTACACTTGTATACATTTATGTCCTTCTTTGCAAAATAGTTATTATGCAATTCTGCCCAATAAGGCAACTGGCACTGTTGGTTGGACAGTCAGAGAGGAAATGTGACTGTCGAAACATTTCCTCATTGCACCGAAAACTACAGAGAAGACAAGCAGTGTATTGTGCAGCAGAAGTGTGGGGGGGGGGGGTGGTGTGTGTGTGTGTGTGTGTGTGTGTGTGTGTGTGTGTGTGTGTGTGTGTGTGTGTGTGTGTGTGTGTGTGTGTGTGTGTGTGTGTGTGTGTGTGTGTGTGTGTGTGTGTGTGTGTGTGTGTGTGTGTGTGTGTGTGTGTGTGTGTGTGTGTGTGTGTGTGTGTGTGTGTGTGTGTGTGTGTGTGTGTGTGTGTGTGTGTGTGTGTGTGTGTGTGTGTGTGTGTGTTCCTGACCCAAGTGACACCCCTGTCCACTGAGAGCAGAGAGCTGCTGCTGGAAGGAGTAGTCGTCCTCAGAGGGAGCAGAGATGAGCAGCAGTCTCCTTTTAGACACGAACCTAGTTTGATAATGGGGTATCAGTCAGTGGTAGGTGACATCAGGTTAAGAGATGAGAGGATGTGTTTGTATCTTTGTTGTATTAGATGATAATGAACACAAAGCTAAAGTGCAGTACCTGAGCAGTATATTATCAGCTTCAGGCTTTTGCTTCCCATTGGAGCAGGACGGAGGGCTCCTTCTTTCCTTTTCTTTTTCTGAGCGCCTTGAGGCAAAGTTGTCAATGTACTCGAACAGAGCAGGACCTGATGGGGGGGCCTCAAAAACCCTCTAGGGTAAAAAAAAAGCTAAATAGGTCAGGTTAAATATTACATGGAATTACATTTCAATTGGTCCTGACATGCCTAAAACAAAAACACATCTATTTGTCAATTTCATTAAATGTATCAATTCATTATAAACTCTTATTCAATTGTGCTCAATTCTATTGGATTTTCTCAAATAAATGAAATGGTGGTACTAGATGTGTAATTTTTAAAACATGATGTCTGGTGAATATTGTTCTCAACACACTGGCCAGCTGTGAACTAGACTACTTCCAGGTGTGATCCTGAGTGGTGCTGAGAACGAGCATGCACACTTATCTAACCCAGATAAAAAGACAATAAAAAGTTCAGAGAAGACTGTTTTACGTTGGGCTTGATGTCGTAGTCTGTGACGGTCATGGAAAAGAGGTCCGAGGACGACAGGCCGAGCTCTGATCTCAACAGAGAGATCATACCCGAGTCTGAGAAATGTTCTGATCGGTCACTGAGTGGAGGCTCAGACTCTGAAACACACAAAACATACATCAACGCGGGAACAGTCAGTTATCCCGGCTACATTAGTGTAACCCAGTGCACCCACCGTGTAACCTTCAGGGACTGTATTTGTAGGCCTGTTTTATGGGATTTTCCGAACGTTGGTTTATGACCAAATACCTACAAAGTTTGGGTCTTCTGCTAATGTGTCAAATGTTAGCATGCTTACCCTCTAAATTAAGATGTTTTGAGAAGAGGAAGAAGCTTGAACAACATTTTGTTACAACATATGCAAGATTAAAAGGATTCACTGTTTGACCGTTTTGCAACTCACAGTAAACTACGCCTTTGCTGCTTGGAAACACCATATTTGCCTTTGGTTACACATTATATAAAAAAACAATGTGTTCCTCTTTTGGTTTAGAATATTCCGACAGTAGTTAGTTAAAACAAATATATAATACCTGCTCAATATTTATTTCCGAGATCCTTCATAGAGGGAACCTAACCAAATGTTGTAGATGCAAATGTTCAAACAGACAACATCATACACACACACACCCACACACACACACACACACACACACACACACACACACACACACACACACACACACACACACACACACACACACACACACACACACACACACAGATATCTACAAACTCCTACCTAGCTGGTGGTGTTGCATCGTTAGCGTGGCGTCACTTCCTTCTCCCACGATGGTCACCGTGGTGATCTTCCTAATAGCGAGGTCACATTGTTGCTTCACGCTGCCGTCTCTCTG